TAGAGTGTCTTCTATCAAATGAGATCTAAACAGAAAGTTCTATGTTGGGAAGTTCAGGTGAATCAGCTAGTTTTTCAAAACTCCTTTTTACATTATACACTAGCCTTCTAATATATGGTGTTTTCTAATAAAAAAATTCTCTTGCGACAATTTATGCACTCTTTCTGCTCGAATAGAATGAAAAATATGAAGAAAGATACTAGTCTACTTAACAAAATAGTTCAATAATCAGTTTTATCATCATCACTAATCAAATTTTCAAAAAAATTAATTAGTATAGCTACGATACTCGACATAGCCGATAACCTTTCTCCTCAGTCGTATGGATTCGAAAAAATTGCCTGATTCGTCTAAACCTTTAAAGTGACTGCTATTGCAGTTATCAAAAAGCCAGTCTGATATTTGGATTACTTCTGTAAAGTCTCATATTATATATATCCTCTATTAACCAGATTAATGAATAACGTAATGAAAAATACTGACACCCATCCCCATAAGATTTCTTGTTGTAGAGTTTCATACAACAGGTCAATAAACTCAAAAAACTGCTTTGATAGGATTAAGATATGCTTCAAAGTAGTTTTTAGAACCTATAGTAGCCTTAAAAATACTTGATTTTTAAGTCTTGACAAGTAAACGTTATGAACAATCATGACAGTACCACAACCGAACATGATCAACAGAGTTTGTGGTCGTTGCAGACGAAAATGACTTTCGTTCAAAATCTGCCGAAAGACACCTTATTCGATGCAGTTTCTTCCGATTATTTGGAACTGCCAAAAAGTGTGTAACCTCACTTTCCTGAAGACTCCTTTTTTTGAATCAATATTCACTACAGAAAGAATTATCACTTTTTCCAATAGAAAAGAGGTAGAACAGAAGCTCTACTCTCAGAATATATTTAATTTGTCAATCCATTTTTTCCTGTTTTCTGAAAAATGTTTTTATTTTGCAACCGAGATTTTTAAGTAAACTGAAGGCCCGATAAAAAAAAGTATTTTTCTTCATTAAGTTGCTCAAGAGCAATAGAGTATATGGATTGTTACTCGAAATTGGAAAAGCTGACTTTCATTTGACCATTGTGTAAGAGAGCGCTGTAATGGGAGTAAAAACCAGTATTCTATCAATAGTAACGCCATACTTACATAGTTTGGACGAAATAAGACTATTGAGTAAATAACATAAGATAAATAAAATGCTAATTTGTGATAATTAAAAGATTCCAAAAATTCTATTGCTTTGTTATACCATGAAATGAACGGAGGAAACTTTCTCAAAAGATAGAAACTGTTTGTTTTTCCATTTTTAGCTAATTTCTGGGAATCGTAGAGAATCTTTTCAATTTTCAGGCATAAAGGAAAATGTTTTTTGAATGAATATATAAATGCTATTTGAGCTTTCTGTTAAAGAACAGTGTCTATCGTCTCAACAGCCTATATCATTTTCGTATTCGTTATCTACATAGGCGTGTATCGAAGACTTGTGGTTTGTTAAAGTTAGTTATTATTGTCAGATAGCGTTATTTTTCAAGTAAATTTCTGAGAACCTCAGAAACCAATGAGGGAATAATAAATTAGAATTGGCTGATTGTTCCATGTTTTTTTAATTTTTCTTACACGAGTGAAAAAACTATCGATCAAGGGTATTCGATGCTCCAGCAAAGAAATGCTATGCAATATTCATCCCAAATAGAACTTGTCACGCTCTTCCATCCGTGATTTCATTCGCGAAGTTAAAGGAGGCCTTTTAATGGTCAACTCTATTTTTTAACTATTGAAAGTATAACTGTCTGAATATTGCACGCATGAATTACAAAACAAAGATTCATAATTGTCCGATCAATTTCCCATTTTTATAACCTATGTTTTCGAAGAAAATAGTGAGTGAAAGTTTAAACTAAGATATAAAAAGAATTGCTGATTGTGTCTTCAGACTTATGCTCTCTAATTCTGACATTTCGTTTGTTTCCTGCCATTTATTCCCAGTGATAATTACAAAAAATTGTTGACATTTTAAGATATGATTAATCAGGAGTATAAATTCATAATTAATTATGTAGAAACGATCAAATATATAGAAAAATAGATTCACAACGTGATTTTAGAGAATTTATAGCAAATATTTAAAAAAAAATAATTATAATTTTTTTTGGATGAGAAGTTCGAAATCATCAATAGAGAGAAACACCCAAACTCGAATTATCAAACTCTTCCAAACTAATCAAAGTTATTCAACATTCAGCCAACGTGCGGACTTTGTGGCTTCTTCTTCGTGATGAAACTATAAAATCATTTAAAACTCAATTTCTTTTGTTTCTTCACTTTAATCGGATTTGTTTCCTACAAGGACTGTCGATGTGCGTCCTTGAAAGCCAAGATAACGCTCACATAAGTGATGTATAGTTCTCTCAGAAAAATATGTGCTTGCCTCATTGCATCTCACGCGCGTCGCACGCAAGAGGCAGAGTAATTCAAACTTCAGTTTCTTTCATTCCTTCAGTTTAATCAGATTTTTTCCAGACACGTCTGTTTGTGTGAGATGCGTTTTAGCAGTCACACTCACACTGACAGTTGACGAGTCAGCACTTTCAATATGATAGTCTACAGAAAGTTCAATCCCACTAATGTTCTTTCATCACAGAATAACATCTATTCACAAGTTCTGAAGCATGTTTGCAACTCTTACCATTATGAAGAACTACAGAGAAATGTTTGCTGCACGTCTTTAGTGATTGACATCGTCGAACGAGAGGAATTATTTTCAAGGTAGACAAAATAAATCACCGATACTTGTAGAATACCTTTATAAATACAAATATGCCTGAAACGCAAAAAGTACCCACCATTTGAAGTTTGTTAGTAGTACGACAATCAATTAAATTTTTCATTCGAAAGTTGATCGAATAAGAAAAAGTCATAGAAGTGTCGAGCAACCACTCACCTTGAAAAAACTGCCATTTATATTTGATGCAAATCAACCTTGTGTTCACCATGTAAGCTGTAATACAATAACAAAATTTGATTGGTGCTTCTGTACAGAAATAATAACTAGACTCCGAAATTTAGCATTGACGGGCACAGTAGAGATTAAGACACAACCAGAATGAGGAGAAGGTTGTTATTGCTTACACGCAAACATTAAATCACTCTTGGTTTTTTTTAACGGCGATAGTGCTCTTTGTGCGAATCAAATAGATAAATGTAAGTATCAAAACGTGAAAGACAGCAGAAGTTTTGTCATAACACTTTTACTAGACTTTCGGCAATAAGTAATCTGAAGTTTCCAAATGTACGTCAATAAAAACTTTTCGGCTATTCGAGCAGCGTATTACTGCCAGTACCATGATTTTTTTGTGGTTTTGTATGAGTATCATCTAGTTAAAGACTCTTGTCATACAGGTCGCTACTTAAATGGTCTTACTTTCAAGAAGCATACTTTTGCTATGGCTTTCTGTGCATGAACTATATTCAAATTAATATTCAGATAAGTTGTGACTTGGAATCGGTTGCTTTTTACATTGTTATGCTTTGATAAAAAAAAGCAGATAATCAGGGAATGTTGAAATTTAACTGAATACATGACACCAAGAGTCTAGTCTTGCAAATCTCAATCATTCATGAATTTATGACTTAATTCAGACTATTAGCTACTACTGTAAGTTGTGTTTTTAATAGACGTCCACCCTCATTATACTTAACTTAGGTTAAAAAGGGTATGTATTCGATTTGGAATGGTGCATAACACCTCGGAATGTTTCCTTGCTATTGAATCAGATCAGAATGGATTTTTGCTTTACTTTGTTTCGGATAAAACATGGTGCTGTTTGAGCTATTAGAGGGAATATCGTCAATTGTCTCATGTACGAACTATATAACATCATATGTTTTCCGTACATCAATCCGAAAAATTTGCCTAGCCAATGTATCCTTAATCCTTCATGCTAACGAAATAAGCAGTGTCTATTGTTTGCATTTTTAAATACGATTGGTTAAGCTATCTTTTAGTGATCTAAGCTTTGAGATAAGTTTCAGACAAAGTATATTCTTGAAAGTGTGGATGTGGGTATGTGATGTTTGACTTCGTAAGTGTCGTTAACAGATAAAAGTGAGAAACAAACGGATACTTGCCTGATTACAGTTTTCTTGGAGTATAGATGCCTCGATCCTATGCGATGGTTCTGTAGGTCTTGATTCATGATACAACGGTTCGTAAAAACACGTGATCTCATATTTTCCGACACTTCTCTCATAAGATTAATTCATTGCAATTGGTCTCAGCATGATTGGGTGACCCACAAAGAATACTATGTATGTGCATACTTTGATATTATTTTCAATCCTCCATACCTAGAAAGCCTTGTATCTATAGTCAAAGCACCGTCATAATTCTTTTGAAAATTCTCTTTCTTATGTGCTCTCTCTTATCAAATATTTTTCAACATAGGCACTAATACCTCTCCATTTTTCTTAGAAATATTTCTTAGAGAGCTTGTCGATACAAAATGGAGCGAACAAAGAGTAATAATGTCCCTTTTCCTTTATTTATTTCGCTTGAGATGCCAAAACAGGAATGACTTGAGAATACGCATTCACTTACTGCGATATTTCCAAAAACTATATTCTAACATTAGGTTTCTTTTATAACGTTTCCTCACAATTAAAAAATATACTCTAAATTCAAAAGCATCAGTTATATAATTCAGAATAACTTACGGAAAAATGCCAGAAAATTTTTTCTGCCCGGATTGATATCTGACCATTTTCTTTGTCACTTTAGTGACAGCGAAGAAGAACAGCTATCCATTTGAAATGTCTTCTTCCTTTCGTGAATATAGCCTTGTTGCACTGAACAAGTGATATATATATATATACTAGAGAGTGACAGCAAGTTATATCAATGCTACGGTTCGATGGTTGTGTTTCGATCTGAATTACTCTCTTATGACGAATCAAGGACATTTTTTAGTATTTTCTCTTTATTACTTGATTTTTAGAACAGCAATGTCCTTGGAGCCACTTTTTATTCGTGAAGAAGGTGACCCGGAAATTCCTCATTCAATGTGTACATACCGTCCTCTTGCAGAGTACTCTGATGAAGTTGCTCATTATATTTCGTCAACGTTCAATGAAATTCAACAATTCAAAACTGATTTGAATACCAAGTATCAACACGAAAAACATGCACTCACTGAATTGAATGAACTATTGCGTTGCATGATTGATGATGTCGAGCGACTGGAATCACAAAATTCACAACATGTTACAAAACTAGTTGATTTACGACAACAATCGTCCAGTATTAGTGTCCTTAATAAACAAAATGATGAATATAATCGTATACAGGCTGATATTATAACAGTTAACTACGATACAGTTGGCTATGAATCAGAACTCGAACTGTTTCAACTACAAATTAAATTATATCAAGGAATGATTGAGGCTGAAAAGCAATCGACTGGTAACTACATATTGAAATTAGAAGAAGAATCGAATCAATCTGCATCAACGCTTATCAATCTGCGTACATCCTATGTAGAAATGGAACAGAAAATTGCTAGTTTTCGTTCAACATGTAAAGATACATTCCAACAGTATATGAGATTGACCAACGACTGGTCCCTGTTGAAGAAACAAATACATGAATTGAAAATCAAAGTACAAATAATGAAGACCCAAATCAAATTTTTCAAGACTTTACATTCGTATATAATAAAGTGAGTATTGATTGCTTGTTGTCTTCTTTTCATACAGAACATTTTCCTTTTGCTTCTAGCAATTACAATTTAATATCAGTGGATACACCTGATTTCGCCGAATTCTGGAAGCTTGAATGGGAACAAATTATTAAGAAAATACGTCATGATTTCGAAGTATTATATGGAGCAATTCATCAAGAAACAATCAGCTTCTATGAAAAGAAAAGCAAGGAAATACAAGTTGCATTAGAACAAATAACACAATATCAACAAGTTGAGCAGGAAAAATATGTAAAAATTCAACAGAAACTTCAGAGACAATGTGATGAAGTGCAGAAGAAACTTGCCTATGAAAAAGAAGTTTTACTAAAATCAGAAGCAATTTACTGTAAGTAAAATATCAGAACTTGGCTTCCATTGTTTTTTTTTTTAAATAAAACTTTTTGTCTTCGTTGCTTTAAGCTAAATTAGAATCCGAATTGGAAATCATTCAAATACAACATGAAGAACGATTCGAAGCACAGTCGAATGAGTTCAATGGTTTACAGGAAAGTATGATAGCAATGGTGAGTAGTGTCGAAGAAATGCAACGAAGGTTAGAAAGTTTGCTGCTGGTTGAAACACAAAACTCAATTTTCTTTTTTTTTGAAAATATTTCTAGAAAAATCTGCTTAGAAAGTGAAATCATTATTTATCGTCATCTATTGAGCAAAAAATTAATAGTGAACCAGATTGCAATACCATCTTCTTCGGTAATTTCAATTACAACAAAAAGAAAATTCATTGTACAAAATCAATGCTATGGATCGATCAATATCGGTAAGCGTCAAGTTGAAGAAGAAAAGATGAGAGTGTGATTGATACTTTTTTCTTCTTTTGGAAAAAGAATGTCCTATCGATAGCACACATATTTCTTTGATGAATCAATCGGCGAATAAAGTTATCAATATTTCGAGATGGCTGTTGGTACGGCATGTTGATTCCAAGGAGGTACTTCACTATACACTACCCGATGAACTTCAACTTCAGCCAGGCAGCGAATTAAAAGTCTATTCAGCATTAGGTGCTGCAGTTGCTGAAAAATTGTCGAATCAAACTACTTTTTCGTCATCTCTACATCAGAAACTTGTCATTAATGATGTATCTTCAATGGGTACGTAATTGTATTAAGTTATTCTACTCATTATTCTCTTGTACCGCTGCCTAGGTATCGGCGACAAGATTGAAACACTGCTACTTGATAAAAATGGTGTACCGAAAGCATCATGCTTACAGATTGCAGCAGCTGATTGAACAAGATATGATTGATAGCTGCAACATCAACCCACTGTGATCGAGAACTAAACTGATATTTTGCATTGAATTAAGCCTCTTAACTTCCTAGAATTCTTTAATAGAAATTTTTAGGTTTTTATTTGAAGTTGAACTAATAAATATATATCATAGAATTGTTGAGTACGCGCTGTTGTATTTTTCTTTTGAAAATCATTCTTATTAAAAAGGAAGGATTTATGCATTCAAAGAAGCCAGTTATGCGATGTACTTTCAAAATTCTCTTCTGATGCTGCCGTAGGTTTGTTCCGTTCTCACTATGATTTGTACTATTCCACAGATTTTTTTTGCTAATATCTAATGGTAATCTATTACTTTTTATCTTACGTTTCATAAACAACAAATCAAATCCTCGTCCTTTATTACCATTCTACTGTCTGGATTTATCGCTTGTTTAATATTCAGCTGACTCCAAGATAAGATCAAGGGTATACATGTGTCTTTATGAGATTAATATCGATACTCAAACCACACCTTGTACCCATTTTGCATTTAGTAATGACAGTGCCAGAACGGCGCAAAAGCTTGTTCATTCATATTGGATTAATGCATGCGAATGAAAATCTATATTTGATGTAGAGAACTTTGATCGTGAAACAGAAAGAGATAAACTATCGTTTTGCTCATTTTCCATATGAAACCATCGCCTAATAATAGTCTTGTTGTTGTGATATGTCGAATATAAAAGAATCTGATTGTTGCTAATTAATGAAGATCAACATTTGAATCTTCAAATTAAAACTCGAAACTCCTCTTCCTCTCACTATCACTAACCCTAGTGAAAATACTCATCAAGCGAGTACGACTTTCCAGCGTGAGTACTCATATTACTCATGCGAGTACTCGAGGAATTTTATGTGTATTTTTACTCTCCGTGTACTCTAAAGAGTACTCGTACGAGTGTATTTTTAAAAATTTACTCATAAGCAGACAGATGAGTACTCAAAGTCGTACTCATGCTAGTTGTTTCGCAGAATATCTAGCAAAACACTTATGCATTAACATATACAAAAATAAATTGGAGCTATATAATAAAAAAAACTAATGTAATAAAATGAAAAATAGAGAAAATCAATTGAATAAATTATTTATTTTATACTCTATTTTTTTGGATGAATCATTTGTACGGATAAAACAAATGGTGTCTTTAAGATAGAAAAGAATAATGATTTTTCATTTTCATTTGTTCAATTCTTCGGAAAGATTAAGTTTTTTCTAAATATATTAATGTAGATTCGTTTTTATTTTATTTCCTAAGCTTAGGCCAAAATTCTTTCATTAAAATGCAATTTTTTTAGATTGATTGTAGAATATGATGGAACACAAGGCAGTTCGCAAATTGTGTTACAAATCGATCGCGATTTTAAAATAAGAAGATGTGTTAATAAACTATAGACAAATAATTTTATTTTGTATTTATTTTTTTGTAAATTTCCTTATGATTGTAAATAGCGATGGATTTAAAAATGTCTGTTTAGTTTTCTAGTGTAATAAGCAATACTGTACGTTCATTTATTGTCACGTTTCTCATCGTCGTTGATTAATTTATTATTTTTCTGCTTCAGTGTATTTTACTGTCCTTAATTTATGTCTTATTGTACTCTCATTCTCTAGGATATAGACAAAGAAACTTTTATTGTTAGAGAAGATAATTAAATATTTCTTTTTTCTTTATTTTATATAATGAAAGTACGTTTTTATTTATTTTTTCGAAAGAAAAATGAAAAGAATAAATAAAATTGTATTTTTATGGTATGTAAATACAGAAAATATTTAAATTTCTTCGCTCCTAATAAAGATTTCTATGTCTGTAATCTTTACGTTAAAATATATGAAACTGATATCAAATTTGTCGTTCTCATGTTGATCATTTTTCTCAACCTTTCATTATGTCCTCTGTTTGTTGGTAGTATTTTAATATTAAATAAAAATTAATGTAGTACAACGGTCCTAACCAAAAATATGCTTATAAGTATCTTACATAGGTCAGCAGAGCACACAGATACTAGATAGTAGTACTCACAAAACACTCAATATTACACAGCGAGTACTCGATTGTCGTACTCAGATACTCAGATTCTAGCAGGAGTACTACTGATGAGTACTCAAAATGCGTGAGTACTCATGAGTACTCGTGACATTTTCTAGCGTGAGTACTTTTTGAGTACTCGCCTATGAGTACCTTCACTAGGGACAGATTCACTATTTTTTAAACAACGTTTGATAACAAAATATCGTTATAAATCGTCAGATACTTGCTGAAAATGGCTGTAAAAAGATTGAACTGACCATTGAATTCTGATCGAATTCGATCTGTTAGTATTCTTATTTCACTTCAACGACTTTTTCAAAGAAGGAAGATCAACCTAATGTTATCAATACTCTTGAAAACATTGAATGCCAGCTGTGAGACGAAAAAATCGAATCTCAAATTTCTCCCAATCATCTGTTGAATGTTCAAGTATCAATTATTTCATTGTTCGAGATCGAAAGATCATTTTATTTCGATCAATATTAACTCTCAATTTATATCCTTTTGAGACAAACTTTTAAAAACTTCGAAATATTAAAATGTTCGAACATTGAGCAATCTTTTTGAAATATTATTACACCCAACTAAAAAAATGAGAAAAATCGAAAGACTCAAGCATACATGACATATGTTGAAGTAAATTAGCTTAGATAGAACAATCTTTTCAAAGAAACGGTCACTTATCTAAAGTTATTTTGAGTGAGACGATTGAAATTGTCTACAGAGCAGTGGTTTCAGTGCTTGTGATTTCTAATCAAAGACATAATAAGCATCTCTATTCCTGTCGTTAATTTCTGGAAAAACAAAATCTCTGATGCTCTTCGTAACTTGCACTTGAATATTGTTTTTTGATGTTGTTGCACAAAATTCAACATGTGAGTATTATAATTCGATCGAATCAAACTAAATAAATGAATGGTTTGAGAAAGTTCACTCAGAGCATTCACAAATTTTTCATTTGTCTCATTTACGCTTCAGTTTTCTGGTAGATTTCAAACAGAAATATCAAATATTTTTTCTTGTGACATTCTTGGTCAATGTTGATTGATAAGATTTCTAAAGGTTTTGTCAATTTTTCTCAAGATGACATCATGTTGTTTCTTATCCGATTTGAACTCAAAAGATTAATGTGATTTATCCTTGGTCTCTAGGACCATCAGAAATCAATAGTACTCTTGGAGCAAAGTATGAAATCAAAAAAATATCTGAACAATTTTAATCACGTCCGAATTTCTGTCGACTAGCAGAAATATGCTCTACCACTCAATTCACTACTAAGTTATTTTCTAGTAATACATTGTGATGAATCTCAAGAAATAGTGCAAATGTATCAATGTTTTTGGACCTGTATTTTCTATTTTTTCTAAATAAAATCACTCTTAGTAAGCATGCTTTTATTACATGTTTATAAATGATATTATTGATTTTGACAAACCTTTATTAGATTCTCTGTATTTTCTTTAGCTGATAAACATAACACTCACATCCACACCTATGGTAAAAGAAGCGAACACGCATAATGATAGATTAATGGATACGAAAGAATTGTCTACCTAATCAAGATTTCACGCACCATCCATTCATGAAAAGAGAGACACATTTTGAAAAAAACAAGAGATTTCGTTACGGATAAGTACGTAGTACAGTCAGTTACGAATGCGCATAAAATAAAATTCGAACCATATGTTATCATTTGCATAGGTAAGTGTATTTGATTTCTAACTTTTTTACGAGATGTTCTACGAGATAATGAAACAATTCTTTACAGCTCTACACTATTTAAATGACTGATCCGCCTTTTGAATTACTGCGCTGAAAATTCTAAATAAATTCTGTTTTCCACAAAACCGAATTAGAGAATATTCACAAGTTTTCAAATAATTATCAATTCTCAAACGATTTTATAATAATCGAGGATTTTTTCACTCGTCGAAAGTAGAATATTTATTCGATTTTTTGAAGGTATTTTTGAACGGATTATGAACCACTATTTAGTCACATAGGACCTTACCTAAAATTCATTTTTCTCTGGCAGCTGCCTTGAATATGTCAGTCACGTAAAGTATAGATAGCGTGCAAAACTCCATCGTAGAATGATAAAAACGATTGATACATTTTTTTGAGTGTCACAACAGATAGTAAATATAATTGTTTTGGTAACTATTTGAAATATTTATCATTGTTTTCGTTTTTGCAATGTATGCTGTTTCTCATAGATAAACTCTGTATTTAAAAGTGATTGCTCTAAGAGACATTTTTAGTATGAAAAAAGGTTTTTTTAGTGAGCTCCTTGAAAGCTGAAATGTAGCAC